CCAGGAGAAAGAGAAGAGCAGTCAATATATCTGACATTGACATTACATCGGAAAGTGCACAAGCCAGAATTTAAGTAGTAACTTTTTATCAGTTTGAATTATTTTTAGATAGTTTTATTTTTTTATTAACTTTTTGATGCTTTTTATAATTGTTATTAGTAGTTTTTAGATAGTCATTTTACGACAATTCTCTTTCGTACACAAGAATGTACATAGGGTATATATTTTAATATTAATATTCTTGAATCTGTAAATAGTCTATTTTTTTTTTGAATCTATGAATAAAGTTATTTTTTATAATAATAATAATAATAATAATAATTGAAAATTTATGTTGTTTTTGTTGTTGTTGTCGTTATTTATTCTATTTCATCTTTATCATTATTTTCCTTTCTACTTGCAGACACGTTCATGAAGAAGCTGATTCTGGTTATTGTGTTACCGCTCAGCTTGGCTGTTTTCTTTGTTGTGGTTATTTGTCTGAAGTTTCGACCAATCTTCAGAGCTGAAAAGCCAGATCAAATCGAAAAGGTAAAGGGCTGACACTTAAGGATGCACCTGCTTGTCACAAACTTAGAAGTTTACTAAGGACGAAGATACACGTATATGAATACCACGATATATACGTAATAAACTGTTTAGTTCTTCGTCTGTTCGGCGTGAGATATAATGAAGGTTAATTCTGGCATTCATAATTGCGAGTTAGTGCTATAAAATGATTTCAAGAAAGCGTGCAAACTGATCACGCTTCTTGTGTTAGGTACATCTGCTGTAACCCCTTCAAAATAAAAACAAACAGACAAATAAAAATAATAATAATATTTATGATTTGTATTGCGCCTTTTCTATAAAATATTCAAAAGCGCATCACAATAGTAGTTAACTGGTATACCTAAAGGGTAGAAACGCTGCCGTAGGCAAGGAAAAGTGAAGAAATGGAAAATTAAGTGTAAAGTTTTTAGTAGAAGGTGATGGAGGCTAAGAGGGTTTAATCCAAAATCTTTGTCAGTGATGACCTAAATTAAGAAATTATCTTCCTTTTGAGTATCCGGTTAACCCTATTCAGACTGGGCTTTTTTGGTCAATCTGTGACTGGGGGCTCCTCGGACCCCCCCTCTGTATCTCTGGAACCAATAATGCTAGGGCCATGAAATTTACACACAATGATTATCTCCGTACAAAGAAGCCCCACACCCAGTTTTGACTTGCCACGCCCAATGATGACGTCACAGTGACGTCATATTCCAATTTTTCAATGTTTCTTATTATTTTTCCACTTAGATACGAAAAATATCAATAATATTGGTAAAGTCATCTCTTTGTTATCCTTTCTTATGAACTAATAACAAGGAAACACTTGTACAGCGAGAAAAAGCAATAGGAAGCAATAAAACTTAAAATTTGAAATGGTTGTCCGCCATCTTGGATCCGCCATCTTGGATTTCCGTTTTTTTGTTAAAATTATAATTTAAAGCAACTTTCAAAGGGGAAAAAGCTCAGAATGTAGAAAAGAAGTATCAAACTAATGTTTATTAGCCAAACAAATGACTTTGGAAGTGTTATTTGGAAAATAGAGCAGCATATTTGTCAAAGCAAAAAAGTGACAAATTTTACCCCACCCCTCCCTCCCAAATATTCGATGTTGAAACATTTTGATGTAATTCAAAAACTAGTCCCAAGCAAAGACCATTTTAACAACAAAAAGCACTATAAGTGTAAAAACGCGATCTTAAAACAAAAAAATCACCATTTTTTAAAATTTTCCAAAACCTATGTGTCAGAAACTGGTTGCCATGGCAACATGATTAGTCACATGGACATGGTAATTATACCAAAATGTTCCTAGATAAATTTTAGGAAAAGTCAGAAAATTTGAACGTCATAGCTCTTTCGGTGTAGGAGTTATCACGATTTTGCCGGAGGGGGGGTTCGAAAAGCCCCCCCCCCCAGTCTGAATAGGGTTAAAGGTGAATATTTTAATTATGAGCCAGTTTTAGTATTTTTCTAACGTGCTCGCGTCGCGTCAGAAGTGGCCAGATAATTCTCGAATTTTGATATGTATATTAATGATTCTCGCTCGCAACCGCGACTGAATGACTGAAACTTATTTTGGAGCTTTGATTTGGCGATACGAGCAAATTTTCTAACTATGGTGTTCCGTCTTTCTGTTCGCACAAAAATCGAGCGTTTTCCACGAAACTTAAAATTCTTGAGTGTAAGACTGTTTATTTCATCTGCCAAGTTTAAGTAAATGTGTTCGACTGTGATCTGGGCTACAAGATAGGTTTGAGAAACGACCATGAAAACACATTAACTTGGCCAACCATGTCACGAATCAAACACTAATTGAAACAATTTTGGAGGGCAGTTATGCTATTTCTTTGTCCATATGCTACGCTATTTTGCTGGTCTTGGCGTGTTTTTTTTTCCGAAAACCAACCTAAATATATAGAGGTTTTGAACTTTTCTTTCATTCTGCCTTGGCATCGATTCGATTCTCGGTCGACAAGTGTCGGCCAACTACAAAAATATGCAGCACGTGCAAAGACTTTTTGTTTTCTAATTAGACCTGTTGTTTCTTTACTTTAACGAGATTGCAAATTATTCAAATTGCAGTTGAAAATCAGTGTAATTAAGAAGAAAGCACGTGGTAATCCACTGCGCATTCTAAATCTCCCATTCGAGCATAGCCACAATTCCTTGCGAGACTACTGCGCGTCCCAAATCTTCCATTTGCACTTAACCAAAATTCCGTGCGAGTCCATTGCGCATCCTAAATGTTTCATTCGCACATAACCACAATTCCTTGCGTTTGACAAGAAAACGTGATTCAATGCCCCTATAATGTGATTTTTTGCCGATTAGAGAGCTGCCTCGTTCGCTCGCTTCAGGCTCGCTCACTGCGGCAGCAATAACTAAATTTTTTAAATCTTTCTATCATAAATCTTAAAAATATTTACATTTAAATGAGTAAAAGATAATTACAAATATATATAGATATAGATATACTAAGATAACTGAAATGATTCCTTAAATAAAAATGTCTTAATTAAAGTCTTAAAAGATTCTAAGTCCGTTGCTTCGCGCGGACCTTGACAGCTTATTCTATAGGAGAGGAGTATGTCACTACCTGGAAAGCTCTGTCTCACATTGTTTTCTAACAAACGACCATTGTCGTTGCGCCTCAAATTGTAGGACGAAGGCTGTTGAATACTAATTAAATCTGAAAGGTACTTAGGTTAAAGGCTATGCAAAATTTTAAAAGTTATGAAGAGTATCTTATAATGTATCCTGGAGCGCACTGGTAACCAATGAAACTCTGCGAGTAGAGGTGTTATATGACAGAACTTGCGCGCGCGATATATAAGCCTTGCACCCGTATTCATAACACGTTGAAATTTCCTAGTCTGATATTCCGGGATTAAAAAATAGTATTCATAACTAAAGCTCCTAGATCTCGCGTCTAATAGGGAAAAAAGGTACGTTATTGATAGCTGTTTTGCTATCACTTTTGCAGACAGAAATGTTGGTGCAAGGAGACTGGGTCGAGCTGGAAAGATCAGAGGTTAAACTTGACGATATGTTAGGTGAGGGTGCCTTTGGTGAAGTTTGTAGGGGTGAGGTACAAATTGATGGAGAAAAGAGGCCATGTGCAGTGAAGAAAGTTAAAGGTAAAATCGTGTTCATTGCATTACTTGTCTCCTAGTGTTAAATCCCAGACATTTAATATATTTAGTCCTCAAAATAAAAGCATCATCATCATCTATTCTATAGCAAAGGTAACAGTTGGCCACATATTATTACAAATTTATGAAATTGTCAATCTATGCTGTAGGCATGTCTTCCAACATTTTCGTTCCTCATACGTTTGTAAGATTTTCGTCCTAGGTTGGAATCCTTCTGTAAGCTCTGTAACACTAATGTCTTAAGCGGTGACAAATCTCCTTCTGTTCTCTACCGCAGAAAACGCAACAACGCAAGAAAAGCGGGACCTTTTGAATGAGCTTAAAATTATGGTCACAGTTGGTGAACATTCAAATGTTGTAAGTCTCATTGGGGCCTGTACAAGGAATGGTGAGTAGTGGACATTTCTAGTAGTCATTTTAAAACTTGATTTCAGTAGAGTAGAATGGATTTGAATGAGAATTTTTTTTACCTTTCGTAGTATCTTCAAGGGTGAGGTTTACTTTGCAAGGCCATTTAAACAGTTCTAATAATGTGTCCTCAACGCTGGGTGACATGGGAAGGGAATTTTAAGTAAAAAACAAACAAATAAAAAAACAAAATAACGACTTCGCAGTGTCTTCTGTCCATCTATGTTGGATGAAGTTCGACCAGTTTGTTAGATCTCATTAACAGGCCTCAGTCACAAGGCTTTTGGTTTTCAATGTAGAAGAGTTATTTAAAGGGAAGGTCAGAGTTTCTAGGCTATCACCAAACAATGTATTTAAATGAAATTATTATATAATCTTTTTTTTTTTCACCAGAGCCAATATTAGTGATCGTCCGACTGGCAGAAAATGGCTGCTTGTTGAGTCACCTTAGGAAAAATCGAGAACGTCAATACATCAATTTTAAAGCGGAGAGCGCCGTGCATTTCACGCCCGTCGATAAAATCACGATTGCTAGAGATGTGGCCAATGGAATGTTACACCTGTCAAACAAAAAAGTAAAAAAAAAATATATTTTTTTGTATTTTACATTTCCCTTAACGCCCATTTTTATGCAAACTCTACATGGTTTCGCATCCGTCATCATCATCATTATCATCATCATCATTTATAATGGTCATCATTAGATAATAACATTAGTCGGCCCCATTTTCTATAAGTTGTTTTAAGGCGGTGATCAACACTTAGTCGCGACATAAAATATAAACCTATTTGAACTCGTTTTGTTTCAGTGTGTGCACCGTGACCTTGCGGCTCGGAACGTGTTGCTCGGCAAGAATAACGTTGCTATGGTTTCTGATTTTGGTCTGTCGCGTGACGTGTATGAAAGTGGCGAATACGAAAACACATCTGGGGTAGGATTAAATAACTATTATTAATGGCGCTTAAATCGATTGCTATCGTCTACCAGCTCCTTAGCTTCATTCGTCTTTTACTTTCTGCTTCTTATATCTTTTACTTAAAGGGAATGCTACCTGTTCGATGGATGGCGATCGAGTCTCTAGAGGATTACATCTACACTACCCAGACTGACGTGTAAGTTATCCTGCTTTTCAATCTCACAGTCATTATTTAAAACTTCCTGGCATCCGTCTGTCCAGGTGGAAAATGGAATCAGCGCCATGGTTTAGTCAGTGGTTAAGTTGTAGTGCCTGCTGTGGCTGTTCAGCCCGATTCCAGATCGGCAGGCTGTGTTGCAGGTTAATGTTCCGTGCTTGGCTCTGTGGGTATTGATGCTGCCCTGAGCCGTCTGCGCTCTCTCCTCTGTTGCCACTGCTCCCCTCTCCTCTCCTAACACGCCTGACTGTCTGGCTTGACAGCAAGCCTCCAGTGACTTCGATCTGCAGCCACTGCTTTTCAAAAAGAAAGGTTGATATTGCCTGCCTTCAGATATCGTTGACAAACATCTTTGAAACGAAGGGTAGGCCTTCCTGTAGGTCTAGTTCCAGTTGCAAGCTCACCTAGAGTATGCTCTTAGGAATTCTCCCGTCCCGTCCCTTCCCGTCCCAATTAAGCCGTCTCTGACGAACGAGGTCAACATACTAGGTACTCCCACCTGTGCTAGGTCATCCTTGTTTGTGACTCGGTCTTGCCAGCTGATGCTTAAAATCCTTCTGAGGCAGTGCAGGGAGGGCGTTGAGTCTGCGTTCTTGGTGGCCGGAGTAGAGGGTGCAGGTCTCTCTACCGTAGGGCAGCTTGCTGAGCACGCAGGCCTGGTTTACCTTAAAATGGTAGTGCTGCTGCTTTGCCAATACGTTTGTATTGTTCAGTGTTTAGGGAGATCAGAGGCTATTTGAACTTGAAAATGCAACAAATGTAAACTGCATGCATACCCATTGCTCAATGACAACTTTTGGCATCTTTCCTGCAAAGTTCATGTTTTGTCTTGTCTTGTAATGTACAGTGTACATCGGGTACGCAGGCTTTTTAATTTCCGCGTATGTAACCGCGTTTTGGTGTGCTAATGTCATGGAGTTGAATGACCGCTCTCGAAGCTGTGCTTTCTACACGTAGATTTCAAATACTACAGGAACTTGCAGAAACGCGAAATAAAATAATAATTAAAAGGCATTGAGTTAATTTAGACAGAGGTTGTGTTTAGCCTTTGGACTTTTGTGTCTAATTTCTGCGGGTCGTTTTGTTTCCTTTGCCACATTTTTGCTCCTATAAATATTAATCCTCACCGTTTAATTATTTCACAGTAGAAATAAGTCTTGATTAAAGTTTATGGACTGACCTGGAATCCCGAGTTGCAGTGTCCATAAATAATCTTAGTGAATATTACATATCCCAACCTCTCTGTACCATAATTTTCTGTCGGCGATAATCAGTAATTCTGCCTCGTTATGTCGGTAGTCAGTTATGTATTTTCCCGCTACTTGTCGTTAGTCGGTAAGACCCATTCAGACCCTCCTTCAACGTTTACTTAGTATACAGACTGAAATTCTTCTGATTTGGAAGTTTCGAAAATAATTTCAAAGAATGTGTGTTAATCTGTATTACGTGACAAATTTCGCAGCTAGTGGGCGCTCTTTTACAGAGCAATAGACTTATATTTTATATTTTTCTTTCATTTATTGATACCCTTGTACTTCCTTCATTATGACAATTAAGTATTATGTACCAGTGAATCCCCTTCAGATTGCAGCGTAAATCCCCCAAGTTCCCAGTGGTTACGGAAAATGACTTAAGATATATGTTACAGTGCATAAAACAGACAACCAACTGAACAAATTCAAGAGCCCAGATTTCAAGTGACGGACATGATCGAATGGGGAGAAAAATCCAACCCCCCCAAGAAAAAAATCCCTAGGGTTTCCAACAAAATCCGAAAAAATCCCTGGACCAAAAAATGACAACACGTTGTACTTTATTCGCAGATCTACACGCCCGGGATACGCAGGCACTACCACGAAACCTCAGATTGTTTTGGATACCAGAAAAATCCCTACTTAAGTCAAGCGTCCCCCCCCCCCTCCCCCGACAAAGAAAAGTGCGCAACTTGCCTACCCCAAAAAATCCCAAGATCAAAAATTTCAAACCAATCCAGATTCCTCGTTCATCCCCGTCTCCTGAAGTCCGGAGTACCCCCTCCCTCTGGGACAGAAATACACCCACCTGAATACAATATTGTCTGTTACACAACGTGCTTTATTTTCACATATTTTTTGTCCTCTCCATATAGCAGTAGTGTGTCGAGCTGTTCTTTGAATTGCGCGCAATAAAGAAGCTATAGAACCAAGCAAATAGCCCACCTTTAATACAATTTTAAAGTGTAAAATCTCTGAAAGAAGTCTTGTCTTCTCTTTGGAGCGTTATTAAAAGTTTTTTTAAAGGATTCATACTGGTGAAGATGTGAGGGCCTGTCACCTCGTGCACTTTGGGCTCCGCAGCCTTGTACTGGCGGAGACAAGCGAAAACATAAGAAGGGAAATATTGACCCCGGAACGATAACATTTACTCACTTTCTGAGTCCTTTTCCAGCCTATTTATGTAAGTCCTTTCTTAGGCCCTTGGGGGGGGGTTACATTGACTGGTGCATTAGTGACGTCCTTCTCACAGAGACGCAGCAGTACATTTCATCACGAGGTTTTGTCCAGCTAAACATTTTTTAACGTGTAGTTTATTATTATTGGAGCCTGTGGTTTCCTTAGAGTTTCTGCTTCTTTTGTATACATTCGGTGCAGTATAGACATGAAAACTTTGAAGTTAATGTTTTTTTTATTTTCTTTCTCTCTCTTCAGATGGTCATTTGGAGTTGTGCTGTGGGAAATAGAGTCTGGAGGTAGAAATAAGACTAAATTCAACAAACATTTTTTAGGAAAAACTGATTACGGATCTGTGCTTCCGCGCAATTGATCGACGTCCTTTGTTTTCCTACACATATCGGTTCCCAGATCAACCTCTAGTCCATTATAGATTTGAAATTTAAGGCTACACGATAACAGTTATGATATGCATGATGAAATTTTTACAAGGCGAAAGGTGAAAGGCACAATTTTTGCTAATGGTAGAATAGGCCCTTTTAAAGTTATAAATGGAAACAGGCTAAATTCGACCTTGTTTTCTTATCGTAAATACTCTATTAAGCCCACCAGTCTCAAATAGGCCCACTCCTTCTAATAAGCACCCGCCTCCTATTCATTGGAAAACGTTAATAAGCCCCTCTTCTCAATTAAGCCCCCCTCCCCTCCCGTAATTATTCTTCACTAATAAATGAGAGACCGTATTAATAAATTATGACTGTAAAACTTCGTGTAGACTGATCCGGGATGGATAATTTACCAATTAACTTTACGTTCGGATTTGATTCTGATCCTCGGCTGAATGACTTCCAACCTTCTTGTTCTTGAGCTTCTCCATTTTGTATTCTAGATCTTTATGGAGAACTGATAACATCGTATTTTCTAAATTAAATAAGCCCCCTATCAAATACCCCCCCCCCGTCTCTATTAACCACCCTAAAATGGATTTGGAATAAATAAGTCCCGGGGGGGAGGCTTAATAGAGGATTTATGGTATGTAGATTATGTTTCATTTTCCATAAAAAAAAATAAATAAAAAGAAAAAACGAAAAAACAAAGGTTTGTATCAAAACAAAGTCAACCTAAGTCTCACATTCACTCAAAGGCTAGGGTATTAATCCGAGAACTGTAAAATGCCGGGACTATAGTGATTTTTCAACATTATTTCGTATAACAAAATATTAATTGTAATAATTTCTGGCCTCGTTAGCATTTGCAAAATTCAAAATAATTGTTACCTTCAAACGAGACCAGAAAGGCTCCTGATACATATAAACGAATAAATAAATTGGCGCCAGTGATGAAAGAGGTCTATTGCGATTATGACTAGTATGCCAGTGAATGTAATTATACTGTCTTACGATAGTAAAAAAAAAGAGAAAAAAAAATAATAATAAGAAGAAGATAAAAACGAATCACACTTCTAATATATACTACCACAACAAAACTGTCCTTAAGTAACTAAAACGTTTAAAGTAAATTCGTCTATTCGGATAACACATTTCCATTAAAAAAAAGACATGTTTGAAAAGGATTTGTTTCTATGTGTTTCAGATGTACAGTTGAAATAAGTCTCATCATAGGCGCAAATTAAATTAACAACGCTGACTATAACATTAACAACACTGCCACTCACCAAGATAATGAAAAAGCGAAAAAAAGTAAAATAAAATAAGAAACTGACATCACTTCATATCCGCTTTAAAATTGCTCATCTAATGTGTCTTTGTTATATCTAAAAGAGCCGGGTTCTTGACCCTCTCAAGCACATGTTTGCAGATCTGAAAATTTCAACACTAAAGCGTGTTCTTAACCAAGTCATTGTGGATGCATAATCTTCTCCAGTCTTAAGCGGGAGTTTGTTCCCTAGATTTTTTTAGAAAAAGCTGGCTTTCAGTACCCATACCACCATTTTATAACAACAACAACAACAACAACAATAATAATAATAATAATAATAATAATAATTAATAAATAAAGCCTAGGCAGTTGAAATAAGTTGCCTGTGGGTGGATAATCGTGGAAAGAAGGATGAGGACAAGACAGCCAAGTACGGTTATCTTTCTGCATTATTGTAATAAGTTTTTTTTTTTTTTAATTTTGCCTTTGCAACATTCCATAACACAGTCCGTTTTTTAGGGTAATTTAGTTCCTTGTAGGCCACACGCTGTGCACCCTACATGATTAACAATTTGCATTCTTACGTCTTATACTGCATAATGACATTAATAACAATAATAATAATAATAATAATAATAATAATAATAATAATAATGATGATAATGATAATGATAATGATAATTTTCTTTTATGGCCTTCCCTGGATAACAATAATTCAAATAACAATTGTCAGAACTATGGCCATTTTTTTTTTTCCATTTGTTTTTGGTCTTTTTATTTTTTCTGTTTTAGGAAGAAAGCCATATTCCGGTTTGGGAGGCATAGAGATTGTGGACTTTTTGAAGTCCGGAAAGAGGTTACAACAACCGGATGGTTGCTCAGATGAGATGTAAGTTGGGTAGAGGTATTTCCACCAATCTCTAGTAATCTATTTATCGTTACCTTATTACAGGAAATTAACGCTCCATAAAATTAAGGTATTGTAAATTAACGCAAAATAAATTAACGCGAACTTGGTGAAAAACGAATTTCAAATGAAGTAAATTAACGGGGAAGTGAGGGTAACATTTTTAAATAAAAAGGACATAAGCAAAGCGCTTTAAAAAAATAAAACTTGAGACAACAAAAACAAAGTTAAACGTATCATCTGACATCAAAACTTTTTTTTTCGTGGTGCTTTCCCTAAACGCACGAAGGGGGTCAAGCGAAAAAATCTGGCCGCTTCAAGGGTTAATTCTTCACAGTTTAGCTGGATGGTGGATCTCCACCCTAATACCCTTTTTTTCAGTGTCAAGAATGTCAGATGTGTATTCGTGTATATGTGTATCATTTACACTGTGGAGTCACCGGATAAAGTGGGCGACTAATTAAACACTCCTATTGCTGAGTGCTTAGACTGACATGCGCCTCTGAACTGAGTTTAAACAACCCACCCCATGAGCCGTGGTTACATGCAGCTGATACCAGATAGCTGCAAGCTGAGAGAGATAAACTCAGATTGTACTGGAGGCGCAGAATACGAATAGTGATGAATGGTGGACTGCTTTTAGGACTATCCGTAACAAGATTAAGGTTTAAGGTAGTTATTGGTAAAGCAAAGAGGTCCTTTTTTTATAAGGGTCTTCTCCTAAAAACGCCCTAAAGAGGTATGCAAGGTCGCCCATTGTGTGCTTAACCGTAGCACCAGTCCGCTAAGAGCCGATCCGATCAGCTCAATATGTACTCCATCGCCACTAACGAAAGGACACTGGCTACCACCATAACCACAGCACCCACAACGATCATTTAAGTTATGTCACGTAAATTTCTAGAAAATACACTACCTCCGCGCAGACTGCTCAACCCGTATCGATCAAATACCTGTTAAATTTGTTAAGTCAGTAATTAAGCATATTGCCGGTCCTCTCCCTCACATTATCGATACCTGTATCACCTCTTCGACGTTTCCTGGAGCATGGAAAACTGCTCGGCCTTCACCCATCCCAAAGACGGACCAGCGACAGAACGAGAAAGTTTACTTCCCAGTTTCCTGCTGGCTCTTACAAAAGCGTTTGAACGGTTAGTGCTAAAACAATTAATTTCCTACATTGATGAGTTTTATTTATTGGCACTAAGTATATCTGGTTTTCGCAAGGGCCACTCTTGAATACAAAAACTGCGCTGCTAGGTATTTGCGATTATCTCCTGCCAGCTATGAAGAGGGGTGAAGTCAGCTTGATGTTTTTTTTAAGCAGCATATTCTAAAGCAGTATAAACAGTATTAACCAAGGTTTACGCTTTAGGTTTTTTACTTGTCTTGAATGCAATGCTTGGACTACGGTTGATTACCTCTCTGATCGCTGCCAGTTCGTTGAAATGGATGACAAGACCTCGTCGATCGAGACTGTACTGTTTGGTGTCCCACAGGGCTCAATACTTGGACCTTTTATGTTCAACCTATATATGTCTGATCTTCAAAAGCACATTAAGTGTCCTTTCTACCAGTACGCAGACGATACAACTTTCTTTGTTCACTCAAAGACTAAGGACGCAATATCTCGTCTGGTAGATTCCTCATCTGAATCAAACCTCGCATTGAATGAAGCTAAAACAAAGTGGATGCTTTTTTCCATTCATTAGATGTCTCCAGCTCACGCGTTACAGGATTATTATCCAGTTATGAGCTGCAATGGGAAGCTAATAGAACGTGTCACCACAGCTTAGATACTGCGGGGTAAACATGAACGAACATCTAACATGGGTTGACCTCGTGACCTCACTTCTTTCATCCTAACGCGACTTAGATTAACGGGAATTTTTGAATTCACGTTAATTTCATGAATCTTTGACATTTGTCCACAATAAAGTAATTCGTCTTATTATTTTAATGGCCAAAAGGTAGTGACTGGCGTTTAAAAGCGATTAGTAGAAAGGAGAAAGAAAGTGATTCGCAACTGAAAACTCTGACAATAACTGGCTGTTTATCATATTTTATCATGATATCATTTATTTATATATCCATTGTGTTTGGACATGTCTTAGAACTGCCTTTTGGTCAAACTTAATGAAACTTTGATTTCTTTGTAGACATCAGATAATGACCTCGTGCTGGAACTTAGAACCTTCAAAACGACCAACATTTCAGGATCTTGTGACGTCACTTGAGCAAGAGTTGGAACAGAAAGGAGCAAGTACTCATACGTAGATGAATCGTAAAACTAAAACATTGTAGAAGGTAAGCAGTGTCTTTGTCGTCCACAGGGCGCTGTTCACCCCTTTGAACGTGGGAGGAGAAATGTATAAGGCAAGAAAAAAACAACCTGGTAATTGCAGATGTATGGGGATCTAGAGGGAAGGAGTGGATAGAGGTTTTAAACCCTCGCCCCATTACATTATCTGTCTTACCAGAGAAACTTCTGGAATTTAATCCGTTGAAATTTGTTTTATCATAATATCGCATAAATTTTCGATGAATTCAGGATATGGAGGCTGGTTAGTTCTGCGGATATTTTCCAAATAGCAGATGTATTCTAGCTGTTCTTGCCATGATTTTTTGCCTTTCAACTTATTTGATCTAGGGGTTTACGAGCTGTACGTACGTATATATCATCACAGGACGGGCGAACATAGTGACAGTCTTAAGCAGCAACTTAACAGCAGCAAGTTAGACCCACAATTTAAAATTTCTGGTTTCACCCCTGTTAGTTCTTACCACCTGACAACTCCAACCTTGTTTGTATCTGTTTTCATTATTGGTCTAAACTGTCTTCTTTAGAAGGCCAAATGAAAGTAGTTTTTGACCTTTAAAATCGATTAGTAAAACAAAGAAGAAAAATGTTCCAAGGCATGGTTCTGACATACTTCTTTCTCTCTTTCAGCAGTATATATTCAAGAGTAAAGACTAAAAGCGGAAGACTATAAACAGTTAACATGGCATAAACATAAGATTATTTTACCTGACAAACATTGTGAAATGATCACATTTAAAGTTTCCTGACTCAGTCGATTTATTCAAGATCCTGGATGTAGACAAGCCGTTTTGAAAGGAACATATGGAGGCCCGCCTTCAAAACAATTTTTAACGAAGTCTCTCGCCTGGTCAGAAATCAGCATCAATTAAGCTCTCGCCGAATAGATTTGACTGCTAAAAACTACTTTCTGAGGCCAGAGACTCGTAACCGCCCACATCAAAGTTCGCAATATGATGCCTTTACGTCTCAAGCCTGAGATCAGTGTTTCATCCGTTTAGCCAAAATGAGACAAAGTACGGTAACATATTGGACGACAGCAGACTTTGCCAACCTTGAGACTTAAGGCTTGATGATGCCTTTCGGAAAACTTTGCTGCAGGCGGCCAGAAAGAATCTACAAAGTTAACCGACCACGGAAAACAACTCCTACCGCGCTTACTGATTACAAATGTAATATAGTGTTTTGACACGGAGAGAATTATGGGAAATGATATGTGGGGGACGGGGGGGGGGGGTAAGGAAAGATATAAACAGCATGAAAACACATGTTTCTTTATTTTTTTTGGCCTATTCTGCAGCTTGTTAGGGTTTTTTTGTACTGAAACATAACAAAAAAAGATGGCCAACTACTGAACAGGCCTCGAACAAGACTGTTGCTAAAAAATCCTGGAGGTACCTTTTTGCAAATCCAGACGGATATATATACACACTCAGTGATCTTGGTGATTTAAGTGATCTGATTGGTTTGCTATCTCGTACTATTCAACAATATTAACCTCCTAGCGAGTAGATAATGTGTGAGCTCGGTGTTTTCCCCAGCTTTTTAGAGAACGATCTTTTAAAAGTCGACAAAATCCTAGGGTTGACTTTTTTAAGGCAAGAAAAGACTTGCATTGGAAGGATTCGAAACGGCGTTTTTCCATTTACTGCAGCTGAGTTTTGGGCTCGATGGATTGTTTACAACTCCCATTTATTCGCGTAGGAGAAGCCGTTTCGTGAACTCAGCGTTTCCTAAGAAGAAAATTTGGCCCAAAAGTCGAAGTTTAGTTATGACAAACAAATTTGAACTGAAGAAAATGTTTGCAAAAATTCTACGTTTCGAGTAAATAGGAAAAAGAATGGTACAGGAAGACGGCGTCTCTCGAGTAACCGCGCCGCAATTTTTGTCAACACTTCATCCGAAGAACGACACAACAAACCCTTTTGGCTATAAACTTGGCAAGTCAGCAGAAAACAACAAAGCTCTACTTTTCCTCTCGGGTAAGGAAACAATTCAAACTTTTAACGGTTCCATTTAAGCCATTACGCTGTTGTTTGCGAAGTGATAAACTTGTGAATTGCCATGTTTGAAAATTCTGCAAATATCTATTTTTAAACTTGCGCGTGATTTGATCCGTCAATAAAATAGTAGTTTTTAACGGTTTCCTCTCTGATTTTGTTGACATCACTTAGTGTGAATATACTAAAACAACTGTTCTTTTCAATCTCGGTGAATAGTGGTTTTAGGAATATTACCTCGCCGCTTCGCGCCTCGGGAAATTTTTTACGCCACTATTCACCTCCATTTCAAAGAATAATTGTTAAATATATGTATTTACCAAATCAGTGAATAGCAATTTTCGCGCGTTTCGATTGGCTCCCGTAACCCGGAATATCCTTGGCTGTTCACTGTTTTGCGACCGGAGCCAAGATGGCGTCTCGTTTCAAGACAATTTCGGAAGACGAATAAACGAAGCAGTCGTAAAAAAAAAGATACCAAGAACGAGACGAACTTGGGCTTGTCGGTGTTTACTTGTAGGTAAAAAACTATTTTCATTCTGAATCTGCAACAAAATCGTAAAAATGCACTTTACAAAATTCCCGACATGTTTCATAAAATTGTGTACAAAGTTCCTACTAAGTGTCGTTTTTAATTAACAAAAAGTTTTTTTTTTTTTAAATATTCAACTGATTTGGTAAATACTAAAACAACTACCCCTTTCAGGGTCGATGAACAGCGCTAGGTATACAGCTCAACGCCTCTCGTCTCTATATTTGTACCACTATTCACCTCCTCTTCGGGGGATAGTTGTATAATATTTACAAAATACAAAAGGAGAATAATAACAAAAACCTAGAACTATCCGAAAACAAACTTAACCTAATGGATAAAAAGATAAAATAAAAAGCGTTAAATTCTAAGACCTCTTAGATTGTACAAATCAATGAGAATAAATTATACGAATAACAAAGAGATCCGTACTTCGAAAAAAGAGGAAGGGGGTGGAAAGGCGGCAACGTAAAAAGCCCATACACACATGTACAAAGAGAGTTGTGAAGGTGAAGACTGATTGGTGAGAGGATTGCGCACAGTTCCTTTGCAAAGGCGAATTTGTTGTGCGACAGAAGCTGCGATTTGAGAATCAGTTTCAAATGGCCTGTGTAAACATATAGGTGCGATTTTATAGTGATTTCTTGGCGGTTTCCTTAAGAGGGTGAAAATTTTCAAAAAAACAAAAAAAAATGGTAAGGAGTTAGTAATTGCTGCCTGTAGACTTAAATGTTCATATGAATTTATTCCAAGGAGATTCGGACCAAAGATTCGTTACAAGGATCTGGTTAGACTACGAAAAACAAAACGAGTGTGAATAAAAGGAAGAAAGATGAAAATACTTAGCGACAACATACTTACAGGATTTGAAGGCTCGAAGGAAACGTGAAAAGACTTTAGGCCATGTAAACGAACAGAACTCGACTAGAACTTTACCTCAAGATTTTCGAGCGAGCACATGCGCCAGACCATAATATTACAACGACATATAAATTACGTAGTTCTTCTACCAGTCCCGCGCGGGCTAAAGACGGGAAAAACTTAACAGATACAAGAAGAACGTTTTGAAACCTACATTCCGGCCCCTAAAATCGTAGGCAATAGCAAAGGATTTTAAAGGAAACTTGACCGAAACAAAACGTTAAATCTAACAGTTCTCCAAACATATACAAAGTTCGGATCACAGTTCAGTTCAGCACTGCTTCATTCCCTCTGACATCTCCACTGACTCCAGGAGAACGATCTTATCGACAGGGCGATCATATTGCGAGGTTCTGGTCTTCACCGTTACACTCCTCACATGTTCATCAGTGCTGTTCTTGCGCACACTGATAATCCGACCAAGAGGCCAAGATGATCTCGGTACTCTATCGTCGACCACAAGTACTATGTCATCAACGGCGAAGTTCCTTGACGGATAAGTCCATTTCTGCCTCTCTTGCAACTGTGGCAAGTACTCTCTAATCCATCTCCGCCAAAACACGTCGGCTAAATATTGAACTTGGCGCCATCTTCTTCGGGAATAGCCATCCTCTTTCCTGAACACACCTGGGGGAAGTCTTGGGCCTGACCGTAGCAACAGCAAATGACTCGGCGTGAGAGCTTCAGAATCTGACGGGTCATCAGATGACTTCGTTATGGGACGCCCATTAACAATTGACTCCACTTCACACATGAGGGTAGTCAACCCTTCATCATCCAGCGACTGTTCCTTCATAAGTGCAACGAGAATCTTTCTGACAGTTCTAATACAACGTTCCCACACGCCACCGAAATGGGACCCCGATGGTGGGTTAAACAGCCACTTGACATTTCTTTGCAAGAGGAACTCATGGATCTGACTCTTGTTCCAACCAGAGATAGCTTCTCGGAGTTCCTTGCACCCGCCAACAAAATTCGAACCGTTGTCCGACCTCATTACTTCAGGAACACCTCGCCTTGCGATAAAGCGGCGCATGGAGTTCAAGAACGAATCAGTGTCCATACTCTGGGCGACTTCCAAGTGTATGGCTCTGGTCGCCAAACACGTGTACAAGACTCCATAACGCTTAACTTGACTTCTAGCCCTCTTGACCCAAAACGGACCGAAACAATCAACGCCCACAAAACTGAACGGGGGTTTGTTAGGTGTGACTCTGTCAGCAGGAAGATCGGCCATCTTCTGAATTTTAGACGGAGCCTGTCTTCGCCTACAGCTAAAACAACGGTTTACAACTCTTCTCACCGCGACTCTTCCTTTGATAATCCAGTAACTCTTTCTGATCAAAGAGAGCACATATTCTTGACCAGAATGTCCAGAAAGCAAGTGATAATGCCTGACGATCAAATCTACAACATGATGTTTCTTAGGCAGTATTACAGGGTGTCTTTGTTCCTGTTCAATTGGTGCATGCCTCAATCTTCCTCCCACACACAGCAGGCCATC